GCTCTGAAAATGAAACACTAAAGCTATCACAAGGATGACTGCCTGGGTCTCTGTACCCTTTAGCTCTTGACAAAAATAAATGAACAGGAGAGTTTAAAGGATACAACCATCTTATAGCATTCGGTGATGGAACTTGTTGATCCTACTCACTGACCACCCCGCCCCCATGCCATATTCCCTTTTATGTTTTCCCAGACCCTCCAAGTGTCCCTGTTTTCTAGGGGCATCCCTGATTTAGAGAAGCCATCCTGGTTTCTGATTTGATCCTGGAATGTCCCACTTTTCCTTAAAGGTAAAGGGACCCCTGACCGTTAGGCCCAGGCACGGACGACTCTGGGGTTGCAGCGCTCATCTCGCTTTATTGGCCGAAGGAGCCGGCGTTTGTCCGCAGACAGCTTTTCGGGTCATGTGGCCAGCATGACGAAGCCGCTTCTGGTGAACCAGAGCAGCACACGGAAATGGTGTTTTCCTTCCCATCGGAGCGGTACCCATTTATCTACTTGCACTTGACGTGCTTTCAAACTGCTAGGTGGGCAGGAGCAGGGACCGAGCAACAGGAGCTCACCCCGTCGCGGGGATTCGAACCGCCGGCCTTCTGATTGGCAAGCCCTAGGCTCTGTGGTTTAGAATACAGTGCCACCCACATCCCCGCTTTTCCTTAGGATGTCCCTTTTTCCACTGGAAAAATGTTGGAGGGTTTGGAGTTATCTGACCCCCAAGCCATCTGAAGGCAATCCTGTATAGGGAAGTTTTTTAAAATGTTTAATGTTTTATTATGTTTTTATATATGCTGGAAGCTGCCCAGAGTGACTGGGGCAACCCAATAAGATGTGTGGGATATAAATAGTAAAATAAACATTATGGAATGAGACGTCCCTATTTTCATTTGAGAAATGTTGAAGGGTATGGTTTTCTTCATACACTGTCCAGTCTAGAGCCCAGAAAGTTGTCCACTGCTGTTAAGGTCACACACACACACACACACACACACCAAACATTTAAAGCACATGGCTTTCCCCCAAAATCTTGGGAAATGTAGCAGACCCCTCACAGAGCTACAATTCCATGCACCCTTAACAAACCACAGTTCCCAGGACTCTCTGGGGAAAGCAAGGTGCTTTAAATATATGGTACGGATGTGACCATGGCATAGACGAAGTTCAAGAAAACCATGTTAATGCTGTTCACACCTTCCCTTCATACTGAAGGGAAGGGGAGAGCAGGGTTATGTCTCTAAGCTCTGTCCTGTTCTCCCTACATTCAGTACAAGATATGAAAGGATCGCATCTGTGTCAACCTGCTGGTACATGAGCTCTGATAGCTCAGGATTCCTATGCATTCTGTTTTGGCCATGCTGCGTATTGTTCAACATTAGACAATGGGTCCATATAGTTCAATACAGCCCACACTGACTGGCAGCAGCTCTTCAGAATTCCAGGTAGGGATCTTTGCTAGCACTACCTGAATGCCAAGGGTTCAACTTGGGACCTTTTGTGTATACAGCTGGAATTGTACACCGAGCCCATTGTTTTTATTTTATTTTAATTATTTATTTTTTTAAAAAATACGCTGCTTGATACAATAAAAATCTCTGAACAGTTTACAGGCATGTGGGTTTTAAAACTTAAGTGAGCAAGTGGTCCGTTGTGCAGCTCACACCAAGGCAGAAGGTACACGATGTTCCCAGTGAGTCCTCTTCTGGTACATTTTGAGGACATTAATTTCGAAACATATATTTCTTAACCATTCTCAAAAGCACATTTTTTAGCATTTACAAGTCGTAAACGTATAGATGTTTAATGTTCAGTGCATCACCGTGAGAATATTAATATCTCCTCGAGGAGCTGGAGCTGGCTTGAAATGGCAGCAATCATTTCAAAGTTCTTCCATTCCCATTAAAATGGTTTGCTCCAGTTCATCAATTTTTGGCGAAAACCATTTTGATGTAACTGAAACAGCTTCAGAACGATCATTGTCGCACCCAGCCAGCCCTAATTTACTGGGAAGCTATTAATATGTCTTGCAACCTCACCCACCCCCAAGATGCTTTAGGTGAAAGCGAACCCTCCTATATTCTTTTCCAGGCTGGTGGGCAGGGGGATAAGAGATTGGCAGTGTAATCAATAGTGGTCATCATGGTGGGGGAGGCAGTGCTTGCCTGACCTCTGGTCATCTGCACTATCAGAATGCACCAGAATGTAACAGATATTCAGGTAGGCAGAGGACAGGACCTCAGCTTGAAAGGGCATAATAGCTATTCTTTCTTAATAAGATTTTAAAACTCAAGGGTGACTGGGCTGGGATATGTTCTTCTCTGCTGCTATTTTTGTCTTCAGGGTCACGTTGCTTTGAAATGCAGCTTGTGGTAAGAAATCAAACCAGATGACTGGGGTGGGAGTGGCAGACTTTGACAGGCAGTGGTCATATGGGACAGGCCTCCTGTCTGATAGGATAAGGCAGGAGTAGCTATCGTTGCCTTTCTGTGCAGACTGCCCAACGTCCTTAATTGACGGTGGTGGCGCATGCAGAATTGGCAACATTTAACTGATGCAAACAGTGCACATGCTGGGGCTGTCTAGAAATATGCCTGTGCAGGCATGCAGATTCTGAATACAATTGGACAATGCATCCAGACATGACTACTTTAAGCATCCCTAAGGAAATTCAGTCCATGCCACATGGAGAGTCAAGGGGCGAGGCACGTGATTCTAAACACCCATGATCTTTGGGAGCTGGCAAGATCCATTCTGAAGCACATTAATTGCACTCATTAATGACAAGATAGATGGATACATAAATAAAGTGTCTGTCGAGTTCCTCATTTGCAAATCTTGCAATGAAATTATTACCCAGTTCAAACATTCATTTAAGGTAATTCATTTCTCAGACTGCTTCAGAGTGTTATATTCTCCTTGATTAACATTTCCCTGATTACTTCCATTATTGCAGCAGCAGCATGACGTTAATTTGTTTTAGGTAGATGGAAAGCACAGAAAGGCATAAATCTTCTCATTACAGCAGTGGCTTTTCAAGTTCCTTGCTTTGGAAGATGGACAACCACAGATGTATTTACCATTCTCCAAATGTGCCCTGGTGGTATTTATCAATTAGGAGGCATCGCCTGTTGGCTGACTTGAAACACTCCAAATAGCTTGCTGATTGACACCTTTATAATTTTCCTTTTCATATGAACAAGTTCCCAACAATTTCCTGGTGTTCTTCATGTAAAATAGAATATACAAATTCTAAGTCTAATTGGTCTCTGCTTACATCTAATTTAATATTCTACTTTTTCCTTTTTTTAGGATTAATTTTGATTGGCCACTGAGAGATTCTTTTCAGCAGTTGCAGTCAAGCTGGAGATCTTCCAAGCTAGAGAGGCTCACAGGGCCAAACTAGACATAACATTTTTCATGCTTTTAGCCCTCTTTTTCTGAAAAAAATGAGCACGTTCTCTAGCCATTAAATCACACTGTCCTCCAGGCCCTGCTCTGCCCTCCATTAGGCTATTTTTTATCTCCTCCTTCCTTAGGTTCTGCCCCGCCGCCACTGCCACCTCCACTTCATGATTTGGGGTTTCTTTGTACTTCTGCAAACTTTGGACTTCCCCTGAGACCTCCCTCATACATAGGTGGGAGAAGCCCACTGTTAAAGAAGAGCCCTCAGACTAGCAAAAGACCCTGTAGGAACAGAATGCCTTGCCCTGTAGTGCGTGGCTTCCTTGTGCTGCTTGTTCCCCCAACATAATGCATTTTTCATGCGATCTTCACTGATATGTGTATTTATACACACACTTTCCCCCTAGTATAAGTACTTCTGTATGCAGTACTTGGCTGGAGAACTGCATTGCAAAATTCAGATAAATGCAAAGTTCAAACAGTGGCTGTGTTTTGGTTTGCATATTGTTTCCGAAAGAGTGGATTGACTTGTTTTGCTTTTAAATGCAAACTCAGTAGAATTTCTTCCCCATCTTTCCCCTGTAGTTTGGAGAGTGTGGGTTGGCTGATTGATTGGGGAATAAACTGATGAATGAATTGCCCTGCCATTGGGTATGAGATTAATTTCCCTTCTTCTAACTAAGTCAGAAATTCTATTGCGAGATCTTCCCTTTACCACTTGTTGATGGGAACAAGAATTTAAATCAAACATTGTACATTTCCCTGCACATAGAGGGTAAACACGGCGCTCAGAGGCATCACATTCTCAGCTCTGAATCCGAGCAGATTATATCTTTGACTGCCTGGAACTGTTTAGAAATACACATCATGCTGGCAAATGCTTGCACAGCACTTCAGAGGCATGTTATTTCATTGATCAGAATTTAAAAATTTAGAGTCCTTCTGCTCTGGGAAGAAATATGGCAAAACAAAAGTGGAGGAAATTGGCAGCCCGGCTGTAAACAGTTCAGCCAATGAAAGCTTTATTTGGGCAAAAGTTTCATAAATTGTGGGGAATGAGCCCATATTGATAAATCCTGCAGTAGTTGCCAACATTTAACAAAGGAAAATCACAGGATCTCCCATTTAAAAGGAGGAGTTTTGTCCTATAACCACAACCCGGTGCTTTGTCAGAACATAATAGCCAATTATATAGATACGAATGTAACAAACCGGGTTTGAGTCACGCTGATTGAGGTTTGAGCACCTTGACATGACTAGATTCCATGTTAAAAGGGGGTGGGGAAGTCCATTTATTGAGTCTGAAACACTCACCAAGACTGGTGTTACTGGATATGTGCACATGCCTGGCATTTATTTAGTTTAATCTTGACTGCAAGCAAATCCGTATTGTGTGTCTGCCTGCCTTTATGAGCTTCACAGTTCAAATGCCACCAAGTTTGTTTCCAGCAGAGGTGTGCAACAGCATGCATGACTTGTCCTCCTGTTGAGGTGTGATGATGTTGCGTGGCAGGACCCTCAAGCTGACCCCCCCATTAAGATAAATAAATTCACACAGACACGGATATTTTGTTTAAGGTTTTGTTTTTTTTTTTTTAAAGCAATTTATTGGGTTTTACAATAGGAATAAATGTAATAAACAATATAGCATTCGTCTTAACATATTTTCACATTTTCTTAGGACTTCCTCACATCTCCCGCTCCCACCTTCATCATTATAACATTTTGTCAGCAATTTATCATCTTATTTAAATTCTTATATCTCTTCGATATTTCATAATCTTAAAGTTCTCATAAAGAGTTAAACTTTCACAATTTTTCTTGTTTCCTTAAAAATTTCTAAGTTAAGTGGTGCTCAGTTATTTAGTCCAGCATCTTATTCAGCATTCAATCAAATCACAATGTTTTTGTAGGTAGTTCTTAAATTTCTTCCAATCCTCCTCGATTCTCTCTTCTCCCAGGTCACGGATTCTGCCAGTCATTTCAGCCAGTTGCATATAGTCTATCAGTTGCATCTGCCATTCTTCCAGTGTGGGTAGATCTTGGGTTTTCCAATGTTTTGCAAGTAGTATCCTTGCTGCTGTTGTTGCGTACATAAAAATGTCTGGTCCTTCTTTGCCACCCCTTGGCTGACAATACCCAAAAGGAAAGCCTCTGGTTTCTTAGTGAAAGTATATTTAAATACCTTTTTCAATTCATTGTAAATCATTTCCCAGAACGCCTTCACTTTAGGGCATGTCCACCAGAGGTGAAAGAACGTTCCTTCACACTCTTTGCATTTCCAGCACTTGTTATCAGACAGGTGGTAAATTTTTGCGAGTTTGACTGGGGTCATATACCATCTATAAATCATTTTCATTACATTTTCTTTCAAAGCATTACATGCAGTAAATTTCAATCCATTACTCCACAGCCTTTCCCAGTCCTCAAACATAATATTATACCCAATGTCCTGTGCCCACCTTATCATAGCCGATTTAACCATTTCATCTTGTGTATTCCATTCCAACAGCAAGTTATACATCCTTGAAAGTATCTTAGTCTTTGGTTCTAACAATTCTGTTTCTAATTTCGATTTCTCCACCTGGAACCCTAGTTTCTTATCACTTTTAAAAACTTCTTTAATCTGAGCATAGTGTAACCAATCTCGCACTTTGTCTTTCATTTTCTCCAAGCTCTGCAATTTCCAATTGTCTCCATCTTTTCTAGTATTTCCCAATATTTTGGCCATTTGGCCTCCATATTGGGTCTTTTTCGGGCCTTAGCTTCCAAAGGTGAAAGCCACCTTGGTGTTTTATTTTCCAGCAAGTCTTTATATTTTGTCCAGACATTAAACAGTGATTTTCTAACAATATGGTTCTTAAAGGCCTTATTTGCTTTAACTTTGTCATACCATAAATATGCATGCCATCCAAAAACATTGTTAAACCCCTCCAAATCTAACACATCAGTGTCTTCAAGAAGTAGCCAGTCTTTTAGCCAGCAGAACGCTGCGGCTTCATAGTACAACTTTAAGTCCGGCAGGGCAAAGCCCCCTCTTTGTTTTGCATCGGTTAGTATCTTAAACTTAATTCTGGGCTTTTTGCCCTGCCAGACAAACTTCGAAATGTCTCTCTGCCACTTCTGAAAGCACCCCATTTTGTCCAATACCTGCAGTGTTTGAAATAAAAACAACATTCTTGGCAATACATTCATCTTAATCGCAGCAATTCGGCCTAACAAAGAAAGTTTCAATTTTGACCAACTGTCTAAGTCTCTCTTAATTTCTGTCCAACATTTTTCATAATTATCCTTAAATAGACTTAGATTTTTTGCTGTTATGTTTACCCCTAGGTATTTTACTTTTTAACCACATTAAGTTCCGTCTCATTCTGAAACCGTTCTGACTCTGTCTCAGTCAGATTTTTCCCCAAAACCTTAGTTTTCTGTTTGTTTAATTTAAATCCCGCCACCCGACCAAAATCATTAATCAATTGTAATACTCTTTTCGTACTAGGCTCTGGCTTCTGCAAGGTCAAAACCAGGTCATCTGCAAAAGCTTTTAATTTATATTGTTTCTGACCAACCTGAATTCCTTCCACCAGCTGGTCCCCTCTGATCATGTTCAATAGCACCTCCAGGACCGAGATAAATAACAAAGGGGAAATAGGGCAACCTTGTCGTGTCCCTTTTTCAATTTTGAACTCTTCTGTAACCACATTATTAACTATCAGTTTTGCTTTCTGTTCTGAATATATCGCCTCAATCCCATTCTCAAAACCCCGTCCCACTCCCATCTCTTTTAAGTTTCCCATCATAAATTTCCAAGAAATGTTATCAAAGGCCTTCTCCGCATCTATAAAAATTAAAACAGCTTTTGTATTTATGTCAGTTTGGAGAAGTTCCAAAATATCAATAATGTTCCTTGTGTTAGCAAACAAATGTCTACCTGGGAGAAAACCAGCCTGGTCCTTATGAATTACTTCATTTAAAACTTTTTTTAAATCTACTTGCCAAAATATCTGCAAATATTTTGTAATCCACATTTAAAAGGGAGATGGGACGGTAGTTCTTCAGTTGTGTCTTTTCAGTTTCTAACTTTGGTATCAATGTGATAAACGCTTCCTTCCACGAATCCGGTGCCCTCTTCCCCTCCATAATTTCATTGCTAACCTCCATCAAAGGTTGTATCAAATAGTCTTTTAGTGTCTTGTAATACTTGGAGGTCAGCCCGTCTGGCCCTGGAGATTTGCCAAGTTGCATGTTCTGAATAGCTTGTTCAATCTCCTGTCGTGTTATTTTAGAGTTCAGGATTGTCCTATTTTCTTGTGACAGTTTAGATAATCCATTTTTGGCAAAAATTGTTTAATCTCAACTTCGTCTTGCGGCCCTTGGGTATATCTCTGGAAACACTTTCTAATGTCCACTGGATTCTGAATGTTTCTTCCATCAACCTCTAAATTTGTAACCGTGTTTAATCTTTGTCTTCTCTTCAACTGCCAAGATAGCAGTTTTCCACATTTATTCGCCGACTCAAACGTTTTTGTTTCATTAATTTGATCTTCCATTCAATTTCCTGATTTATCAATTTAGAATACTGTGTTTGATACAGTTTAATTTCTCTCAGAGTTGGCTGTGACTTTGGATTCACTCTTAATTTCTTCTCCAAATCTTTTATTTTATCCAAAATCTTGTCTTTTTCTCATTTTGTGTTTTTTTCTTTACTACATTCTGTTGTATCAGAAAACCCCTCATGACAGCTTTGCTTGCGTCCCAGACGATTCTTTTTTCCACCGAATTGTTCATATTTATCTCAAAATAATCTTTCAAAACTTTTTGGGCCTTCTTGGTAATTTCCTGATCTCTAAACAAATTGTCATTCATCTTCCATCTAAAGGATCCAGTTGGTAGTAGTGTCATGTCCATCTTTACTGCGTTGTGGTCAGAACAGGTCTTTGGGCAGATTTCCACTTTTCTAACCCTAGGTGCCAGGCCTCTAGAGATCCATATTTGGTCGATTCTTGTCCAGGTCAGTTGGGCTTCAGAAAAGAATGTTCCTTCTCTACCTAGTGGGTTCTTTGTTCTCCAAATGTCGATCAAGTCCATATTGTCAGTCATTTCAAAAAAAGGTTTTAGGTAGTCTGCCATCTTTTGTGATGTTTTGACTTTGCGACTTGTCCATGTTAGTTGACACGACCCCGTTCATGTCTCCCATCATTATGATGTTGTTGTAATCCAGATGATCCAGCATTGTCCCCTGCAACTTCTTGTAAAATTCCGATTTCCCTTCATTAGGCGCATAGATTCCTAATATCAGCAATTTCTCTCCTTGATATTGTATCTCAATAGCCAAAATCCTTCCATGTTCATCTTTAAATAGAAATTTAGGTGACAGGCTCTCTTTTGCATATATCACCACTCCTCTCTTCTTCACTTTATCCGACGAAATAAATTCCTGGCCCAATCTTTTATTTATTAACACTTTTCTGTGGAGCCTCGTCACATGTGTTTCTTGTAAGCAAATAATGTCCAATTGTTCTTTTTTTTAATATATGAAAAATTTTCTTCCTTTTCTCCGGAATATTGCAACCATTAATATTCCAGCTCAACAGTTGCAGAGACATCCTGGATCTATCTGGTTATTTCTCCTGGGGTGGTGTCTTCTCTTGATCTTCAAGTTCCCGAGGTGGAGGTATTGATGCTGGCTTTGCCTCAGGCCCGGAAGGTAGTTCAATTCCTTTATGTAGGTCCTCTCCGTGTGTAGCCAGAAATTTATCTCTCTCTTCCAATGTTCTAATTTTAACCTTTCTCGCTCTAAAGGTAAAAGACAATCCCTGGGGAAAATCCCACCTGAATGGAATTGCGTTGCTCCTTAATAGTTTAGCTAGTTCAGAATAGGCGGCTCTAAGATCCAACAGTTGTCTTGGGATATCTTTATATATCTCAATTCTTCTATCCAAAACTTCCAGTGACTTTTCGTAATGTAGGCCCAAAATCTTATCCCTTTCCTCCTTCGATCTCAATGTAATCAAACAATCCCTGGGCCTCTCCTTCTTTATAAATCTTCCAAGTCTGAAAGCTGACACAATTTTAAAGTCCTTTTCTTCCAAATTCCAGAACTTGGAAAGTTCTTTGGTCAAAAACTCAGTTAGATTTCCTTCTTCTGCCTCTTGTAATGATCTAATCCTCAGATTATTCTCACGATTTCGCAGTTCTATCATAGAAAGATAAATCTGATGTTCCCCAACTTGTTTAGTGAGTGGTCTTACCTCTTGCTCTAAATTTTCCAATTTTTGTCTGGTGTCCTCAGCCAATTTTCGATTTTCTACTGAGGCCTCCGTCAACTGTCCAATTGCTTGTGTATTCTGTCCCACCTGTGTAGTTAATTTGTTTAGACACTCTGTATTTTTATCAATCTTTGCTGATTGCGCATCTACTTTCTTGTCCAAAGCTTCCAATTTTTCAAAGATTTTTCTAGCACAGAAGCAGATGCTCCTGAGGCCATATCTTCCAATTGTAACTGCTCTACTTCACCCTCTCCCTCTTTTGCCTGTGGCAAGGCAGCTTCTTCAAGTTGTACTTCTGAGGGCAAAGTAGGCACAGATGATCTACGTGTCTGCGAGGCTGAGGTTAGATTTGTTAGAGTTGTTTGTCTAACTCTTCCTCTTCTTCTTGTACCACTCATTCCAATGTTATCTATCAGTCAAGGTCACACTGAGTTTTTCCCACAGGAATAGAGAGTCCCAGAGCAAGCAGACAACAAGAGAATCGAAAGTAAATGTTTTTATAAAGTCACTGTTTTAATCCAATCCTCTAGAGGGAGCTTAAAATGTCTTTTCAGAGTCTGATTTAATGTCCCAGAACCTTCCAATATAAGTATTAAGCAGAGTTTAAAGGTAATCACTTTGTTGCAGACAGTGCTTATTTGTCTCCAAAAAGAATGTTTCAAATTTAAAATGTCTCAATGCCCTCAAATTGTTGCAACTTCCAGTATACAGTATCCAAGTCAAACACTGACAGCCCACTGTTACAATGCTCAAGCAGTCCTGACTCTGGGTTTCACCTTCCACTGTGTAATCCACCAACAGGGGGAAGTCAAGTGCAAATAACCGGTCCAAATCCTGAACTTGCTAATTTTACTTTAAATTGTAAGTTCCATAGATGCTTGGCTGTGTAGAGTTTGAAATCTCTTTCTTTCAGCCTCCACTCCTCCACCTTAGTTGCTTTTTTTTCCAAGTTCAATGGCAGCGGAAGACGGACTTCCTGTTTCCACGTCTCTCCGCTTTCAGCCAAATTCAAGTCAATTTAAACCTTCTCATTTAAAATTTGTAATTCCAAGTGATTCAGTCTTTACTCACGAGTAAGTTGTTTTCTTCCAGGTCCGAATTTTAACAGGAAAAGGGATCAGCGCTCACCGGCAGCAGCAGCGCGGCTTCACTCCGCTGACTGTGAAACGGCTCACAGCGCCGCAGCCCCTCCACGCTCCGGAGCCTCTTACGAGGCTCCTCCTGCAGGTGGAGGGCTGCTCTTGGCGCCCGCCGAGCCTCAGGACCCCAGGCTCTTGCTGCCGGGGGTTTGTCTCACTGGGTCTCCGCTTCGCCGTAGCGGACGACCCGGTTTCAGCGGAGCTTCTTCTCCGGTCGGGAGAAGACCGCCATTACCGTTCGCGCCGCCCCCGGAAGTCCCCTATTTTGTTTAAGGTTTTGGGGCAAAAATTTGGCCACAACTTTATTGATTACAGGAATGAGAGCCGTATTGGCTTAGGCATTGGCAAAACTATATCTGACTCCTGCCCACTTTGCAGGAAGTCTGTAAGGGTAAACCACCCAAAGGGAAATTGCTTTGGGGGAACCCGCCTGCATCTCCCCCTGGTGTTCCCAGCGGCCTGGTATGGCCCTCACCCTTCAAGAGGACTTGGGACAGGAACCAGGCCCCAGCTTCCTTTAGCAGAATACCCTTGACACTGGAGGGGCAGGCGATGGCCGACCTCCCCTCCCCCTCAAGCCGGGCAACCAACCAAAGTCCAAAGCAAGGCCAAAGGATCTAAATCAAAGGGAGGGTGGGCGGGTGTTCAGTAACGCGAAGCAGGAGCCAAGCACACGTCGCGCTACTGCTTTTATACTTTCCCCCACTATCACCCTTTGACATGATTGGGCAATAGCCCAGGGTGATTGTGATGCCACCCAGGCGTGCGTGTGATAACTCCACCCATGCCAGGGTAGGGGGAACCAGGTTGAGAGCTTGCCCGCAACCATGACCATCTATTAAGATGATCCCATTTACTACAAACAGACATTGAATACTTACCTAGTCTGGGGTGCTTCTGGACTCAGCATTCTCTTCTTTTTTATAATCAATTTTTATTTGAAGTTTTCAACATAAAATATGAAAAATGCCCAACTAATCGGGGGGGGGGGGATAAGAAAAAAGCAAGAATAATAAACAGAAGAAAATAAGGAAGAAAAAGAAGAGAAAAGGAGAATTCAAGGCCCCCTTATTCCACACACAGAAGAGAAGCCCTCTCACCTCAGAGCTTCCACCTCTTTTGCCAGCCTTCTACCCTGGGAAATCCTCTCTGTCCTGCCTCT